ACAGTTGGACAAGGGCTTTGGTGTGGCTCGTGGTTGGCCATATACATCAAAAGACAGGGCATCTGCCCGAAGGAGGTTCCCCTTGCTCCAGTCTGGCTGTGGGACCAGGAAAGGCAGAGCAGGGCCCAGGAGGCTGCACCTTCTAGAGCAGAAAAGGAGGATCAAGCTGCACTGACTTCTAGTACTCTTGCCAACTCTTCCCTTCATGGCTGACACCCTCTGGAGAGCCCTTTGTGGACTCTGAAGCACTCCCCACTATGTGATGGCTCAGGCAGGCGGGCCTCAGCTCCTTTGAAGGAGCTGCAAAGCGAAGTTCTGGCCTTCTGGGCTCTTTAGCAGGGAGACCAGACCCCATGCCCTTTTCTACCCCAGGAGTGCAGGCTGTTTTGGCACCATGTGCCTGGTAGTTTGAACCCAAGGTAGTTTGAACTCCTCAGGAGACAGACTCACTGTGGAACCACTTAGTCCTCAGCCTCCTCCCCACACAGGCACCAGGTGGTGCAGCACAAAGCCACTGTGAGGAATTGGAAAATGGTTACCTGATCACTTCACCTCCACACGCTGCCCTGACATTCCAGGTCTAGTGAAGTATCCCATCCAAATGTAAGGAAATACAAGTATTTAAGTAAACTTTTTAAAGATTGTGGTAAGTTTCAAACATAAAATTAGAATAATCTAACCATCCTGGCATCAGTAGATATCAACTTAAAATCCTACTTACCAGATCAACATTGTTTCCTCTGTTCGCTTCCTCCAATAGACACCCAAGTGGGTTATTTTGTAGCAAGTTCCAGATGGCATCATATCTTTAGTAAATAGTAAAAAATGTGTCATTAAAGATTAGGATGAGCAGCGTACCTTTAATGTTCACATGGAATGTAGCATGCTGTGGAGTTTTATGCAGGTTCCTTCATTGCTCCCACGTGACCCAGGGTGTGGGAGGATAGGGACATCACCTGAGCAGGAGTGGTGGTACCCAGCACTGGCATTGTCCAGACTTTTGTCCAGACTGCTTCTGAGGGTTGTTCTCCTGTCCCTGGGGCTGTTGCCTGTGTGTGTCCAACCCCCTGCTTCCCATTCACTGTGAGTCGAGCAGCAAATATCTCCAGCTGCAGTAGTGATTTAGGTGCTGAGGGGCTTTCTGAGAATGAAGGCTGTTTTACTTCCCTTGTGCCTACTCTTGCTTTTCATATGTGGGAAGTCTCCATTAGAACCCGTAAGAGCCCAGGAAACTGGGTTGGCAGTGCGGAGCATCCTCCCCATCCCCCAGTGAGGATGTGCTCAGTGAGGGTTCTTTCTTTCCCCTGGTCCGAGGCCAGGAGGTGCCTTAGTTTAGGGCAGTGGTTCTCAACCTTCCTAATGCCTCGACCCTTTAATACAGTTCCTCATGTTGTGGTGACCCCCAACCATGAAATTATTTTCGTTGCTACTTCATAACTGTAATTTTGCTACTGTTATGGATCGTAATGTAAATATCTGATATGCAGGATGTATTTTCATTGTTACAAATTGAACATAATTAAAGCATAGTGATTAATCACAAAAACAATATATAATTATATATGTGTTTTCCGATGGTCTTAGGCGACACCTGTGAAAGGGTTGTTCGACCCCCAAAGGGGTTGCGACCCACAGGTTGAGAACCGCTGGTTTAGGGGTTGCCTACATGTTTGATGCTGGAGACACTGGCTGTCTGAATGGACAACCACGTTTAAGCTGTCTGAATCCAGTATAAAAACCATCAACAAGGTGGTTATGGAGTTAGTCCCACCAGTAGTCATGGGTAACTTTGTAGACACCTGTGTCACACCCAGGATGACTTCTTGCCCTTCCTTTACAGTGGACACCTCAGGTCTTCTCTGAGTCTTGCCCATCGCATGGCCTGCCCTGCCTGCTCTCTGCCATTCCAGAGTAGCTTTGTCCCATCTTGTACCTCCCCTAAGGACATTTAGGTATCTGTATGGAGCAAATGCCACCACACTGGGGGTTCCATGACTGGGCAATATTTATTTCCAATAAAGAGGCCACTAAATACAGAAAACAAATGGGTTGAATGAATGGGTTGAGAACGTGAGCAGTTCACACAGGAAGTCATCATTGGCAGAAAGGGGACGTGATACTAGGCTCACTAATTGTTCAGGAAACACAAATTAGTTTGCATCTATTGCGGGAGCCCTAATGAGGAAATGAGAGGCTGCAGTGCTCAGACTCCCTGGTGTGTGGATTCTGCCCCTTTTGGGAAAGCCGCTTGGCAGGTGGTTTTGAGGTGTGTGTGTTTGTTTTACTGGGAAGATTCCCAAGGCATCCACGACAGCAGCAGGCTGCATGTGGCCCTCAGCCCTGGCCTGCAGACTTATTCCAAAAACGGCTCAGAGGCTCCCTCCCCATACAGGATGGAGCGGTGTATGTGCTGTGGTGATGAGAACATGTGTTTTCATGCAGACAGGTAGGTGGTCTTTGGGGTGGTGGTAACAGTCAGCTCCCATTTGGGCTGGAGTTGATAGAAGGCAGGCTATGTTCTCTTGGCATCCTCGCTCATGCCACTGTCTTCATTCTGGTTCCCTCTCCCCTCTCCAGGCTTTGTTGCCTTATCATCTCACAAAGCCCTGGGACCTCTGCTGTAGGAGACCCCACTCAGGTGATGCCCTGCCACAGGCATGCCTGCCTGCCTTCCAGCTGACACCCACATCCTTGCCAAGGATCTGTGCTGGGCTTTGCAGTCCTCGAGCCTGGATGGGAGCCCCCCTTGACATGTCACCTAGGCGTCTCTGCTACCCACAGGACCTCTCTATCCAGGGTGGGAGGCCTGTTGCTCCTGGGTGGGTGGGTGGGTTGGTAAGACAGGTTCAGGAGCCTTCTGTTTGTGGTCAGACCACTGCCTACCCACAGGCTGGCTGAGGTGACACTGCCAACTGGATCTGAGGCCAGAGGCCTGATCTGATGCTTCACAGACCTCCAGGATTCTTGCCTGTCCAGTGTGGTAAGGGCCAGGGCTCAGGGACAGACTCCTGGTAGCATTTCTCAAGGTCTGCAGACTGACTCTATCTGGAATGTCCACGTACTGCTTCCCACACAGTGCTCAGTGCCCTGCCTGTCATGGCCAAGAGTGGGGCAGAGCCAGAGGGGTGAGCCCCTCAGGGAGATTCCGAACTTCCATGAAGCGGGGGCAGAAGGAGGGAGACGGGTAACATTTTTCACAGGGCTGAGGGCCTCTCTGTACACCACCCAAGTTATGGCAGAGCCCGCAGGCCTGACCTGTCTCAGCTCCTGTGAAGCTTCCAAGGAGGGTCCTGGCCGTAGGGTGTCTGCGGCACCAGCTGGCTGCCAGTCCCAGGCTGCCCAGGTGTTCTGCCTCTCTCTCCTTCTGGCAGTGGGACAGTGTCTGCCCAAGGACAAGGACACTCTGTGCTGCTGGGCGTGCTTTGCGGGGACTGCTGGTCCAGGAGTGTATGGGGACCTAGGGCTCTAAATATACCAGAGTGAGGTCACTAGGGTGGAAATAGGCCATGTGGCAAGCTCAGGACCCTACCAGGCTGAATCCCAGGACTGGAGACAGGGAGCTGGTGGCCCTGCTCTCCCTGTGCAACTGGCCTCCTCACCATGCAGTCTCCTTTTGCACCACGTCCCTACTCGAAGGCACATTAAGGTGTGTAGGTGGTTGATTGTGTCTCCTCTCAGATCCGCCTCTTTAGCTCAGTTTGAAGTAGCTTTCTAGAGACAGCCACAGCCCCAAAGAAAACATCATGAGACGAGGCCGTTGTTGCCAGGGTGCAAATTGGCCCCTGGCAAAGGGGCAGCTTTGCGAGAGCTCTGTTGGGCACAGTGAGGGCTTCTGTCGTGATCTGTGGTCACTGCAATTTACACCCACACTGCCTTTAGCTGGAAATGGGGCAGATAAAAAAAAGCCAGGAATACACAATGCCAGCAGAGTAACAGCCCCACATCCTAGTCACCGGTACCTGGGCACATGGTACCTTACATGGCAGAAGGGACTTTTGTGACTAAGGGAGCAGACCTGGATTGTCCAGGTGGGCACAGCCTGATGTCATCAACTAAACAAAATGGTGATGACATATGGAATCTTTACAAGCAGAGACCATTTCCTGGCTGGTCAGAGGTGTGGTGCGGGGTTGGGGTGCAAGCCAGGAAATGCAGTGCCTACCAGAAGCTGGGAATGGCCTTCAGATGACAGCCACAAAGAGAACAGGGACTTCAGTTCTGCAGCACTGAGGAACTGAATCCTGCCAACGCCCGAAGGAGCAGGAAACGAGCCCCAAAGGAGGGTAGTCTGCCAACATCTAGACCACAGCCCAGGGAGACCCAAGCACACTTCTGACCTTCAGACCTGGGATGATGCATGCATTTTGTTTAAGCCACTCAGTCTGTGATCATGGATGAACACTTTGGCAGCAAGAGGAAATTGATACACCATGGTGCTGGCAAAGATAGAAAGATAAGGGAAATAGGCTTCCTCACCTTCCAATGGGAGCAGCCTCCCTAGGGGCTAATTACAGTAGTTCAGGGAGCCCACAGCCCCTTTGGTTGCTTGTTTGTTAGACCAAAGTCACATCTGATAAAGGTAGTGATAGCAGCTTTGTCTATAACAGCAAGTGAAATACCCAAGTGTCCCCCAACTGGCCCTGCTCGGTGGGGCCTCCCTCACTGGAAAGCTGAGCAAAAGGAGGGGTCTGTGCTGCTGGGGATTTCAGATGTTAGTGAGAAAGAGCAAGACATAAAACCATGTTTTGTTTTTTTAAAAATATGTGATAAGTATGTGCACAGGCTTGTGTATGCAAGGAATATTTCTTGGAAAGCTACAAGGAGATGCTGCAGTGGCTGGGTGGAGATGTACCTTTCCTTACTGTATCATGTCTACATAACTCTGTGTGTGTGTGTGTGTGTGTGTGTGTGTGTGTGTGTAGGGCAGCCGTGGGCAAACTACGGCCCGCGGGCCGGATCCGGCCCATTTGAAATGAATAAAACTAAAAAAAAAAAAAAGACCGTACCCTTTTATGTAATGATGTTTACTTTGAATTTATATTAGTTCACACAAACACTCCATCCATGCTTTTGTTCCGGCCCTCCGGTCCAGTTTAAGAACCCATTGTGGCCCTCGAGTCAAAAAGTTTGCCCACCCCTGGTGTAGGGGGTGATGTGCTCACTGTGTGATTTTGGTGGGAGAAGAGGCTTACTCCAGATGTGGGCCAGCCCACTGGAAACCTGCAGCTGCTCGGTTGATGGAGATGTAGGCGTTCTTATTCTCTATTCAAATTCTTCAGCAAGAATGTTTTGTCAACATGTACTACTAGGCCAAGGCTTGCCTCTTCATTAGCGGTGTCTTTTAGTAAACATAAGTTCTTGGATTTTGATTAAGATAGTTTCCGGTTTGTCCATATTTTTTCTTGAATGGTTAGTGTTTGGGGGTTCCTAAGAAATCTTTGTCTACCCCAAAGTGGCAAAGATCTTCTCTTGTTTCTTCTAGAAGCCTGAGAGTTTTTGCTTTCATATTTAGTTCTATGATTCATTTTGAGTTAATCTTGAAGTGCTTGGTGTAAGTGGAATCAGCCACATATATTTTTTTAATATGTCTTTATTGATCTTAGAGGGAGAGGGAGATAGATAAAAACATCTATGAGAGGGAAATGATTGGTTACCTTCCTGCGTGCGCACAAATACACGTGCGTGCACACACATGATCAAGCCTGCAACTCTGGTATGTGCCCTCACACACCAGCCAGGTAGCCATATATATTTTATGTGATACTTCCCTTCCCGTGGTTTGAACTCCATTTTATTAGTACAGTGG